ACATCATAATTACTCGTCGGAGATTTGAAATAATTTTTATATCGACAAACTTCTCATTACCTCTAATGCCATATAATTTTGGTTTCCTTAACTTTGTATCCAATATGATCAATATATCCATATAAAATTATTAGATATATATTTTTTTGTTGGCTTCTCATTTATGATTGACCATTAATATCGATGGTGGCAGCTCCATATGTGGTAGCATTAAGTTGTGTTGCTGAGTATGGAACAAAGGAAATTGATTGATAACGGCCCTTTAGACAGAAGTTCCAATGTGTTTCATAGTTGGTAATGGCAATAAGGAAGAAGACAAAGTTGTCTAAAGAGAAGTAGCATGGGTAGATGCATCATGACTAGTGGATGGAAATAGCTTCGAGGTGCTAATTAAACTTATAGCCTATTAATAGACACTACAAGAAAATCAAAAAATAGCAATGAACATTTTCATCTCTAAATCATCAAAATCCATCGCTATTTACCCTTAGCACCGAATTTGCAATTATAAACTTTCGGTAGCTATATTGGTCCTCGCTATTTACTCTTAGCAATGAATTTATGATAGTAAACTTTTAGTAGCTAAAATGGTCATCGCTATTTTCTTAGTAACAATTAATCTATCGTTAATTTATAGAATTTTTATTGCTAAATTGAAGTAAACAGTCGTATCCCAAGTCCGGTATCCGTCACAAAACCATCGTTATTTTCCTTATTTCCATTGCTAATTAGAGACATAATTGTCATTGCTAAATTGTACTTGCTAATATTTCTTGCAAATCCATCACTATATCCGTCGCTATTTAGCAATGGTATATGTTTTCACCGTAAAGAGGTTTAATATTTGCCGTTAATTTGATCACTAATCCATCACAAAATGAATGATTTTTTTATTTATAAATTAATAATCGTTTAATGTTAATGGTAGCAACAAATAACTAAAAATAACATCTTATTAAAATATGATATATTATTTAATAAAATTAAATAATATAAATTGAAATTAAATAAATATATAAATGTGTTAAGGTGTGCAAAAACATTAAAGACCTTAAAAAAAAAGTTTAACAAATGCAACAAATAAATAACTATTCAACTGAAAACATATTACAAATTGTTTTCATAAAAAACAAACAAAATTCGACGAGTCTTCCTTGTAAATTGAATATTCCCATATTACTAAAGACGCCACCTTTACAAAGTTCAACACATCGAAAATGCACAAAAAATATTTAAAAAATACATAATGGACGAAACGATATAATTTAATGAATATAATAACTAAAATTGATCTTTAATTACAAATGTCATAATCATCTTTTAAGATTTCCTCTCCTTCAATCGATTTTGATACATATTCACTCTCAATTTTCTTCATTAGCTTCGAGTTACTTCTATATCTATAAATGATCCATTTGGATCATTCAATGACTCGCTCATCACCATCTTCCGGAATCAAATTATGTTGGATTTTCAAATCGTCTTCTCGAAACAGCTTCGCATTTTGTTGGAGTTACGGGTTGGTCTGTCGGAGATCTAGCCTAAAAAAAAAATATTATTTATATAAATATATATGCCGAATAAATTAAAAAATGAAAAAAGAAAACAAACACTTATCCGAGAAGAGGAGAGGCGTAAAAAACGAAAGGTGAAGGAGGAAGAGGCACCATTGTCTCTTGCTAGGTTATTGGAGGAAGAAGCAAAGGGCAACGAGGGTTTTTGAGTGATAGAGGAGAAGAAAATAGAGAAAGAAAGGGGCTATCGCTAGATTAAGCCTTTTTTAGCGACGGATGCAATTCTATCGCTATTCATTAATGACTTGTCGCTGTTTGAGTTTACCAAATTGTGCCATTTTTTCGTTATTGATGATGGATGTAATCCCATCGATGTTTGAATTTATCAAATTGCACTATTTTTTTCTTGTTGGTGATGGCATGTTCCATCGCCGAATTTACTCGCAAAACACTAACCAACCTCAATCCATTGTTATATTGTGCAGGAATAATAGTTTCCAATGGAGACAAATCATCGTTGAATTATCTCGGATTTACGAAAAATTAACATGCCAAATCCTACCAAAATTAGCAACGGCTAATATCATCCGTTGCTAAAATACCATTGCAAATTAGTTGGTAATATGTTATTGAATTAACTACAAAAACTTTACCATGTAATTCTTCGTCATTGAATTGCCATCGTAAAGTCGTCAATACTCTGTCACTATTAATCCAAAATGTCTATAAGTTAATAAAAGTCGTTACTTATTTGCTAATCCATCGCTATATACCGAAAACTTTATCTTTATCGTTGATTTTCATCATTATTTAACTGTTTTTGTTTTTTAGTGAATAACTGAATAAGAAATACTGTGAAGTAGAGAGTTTGTGGAATTTTCTAAAATAACCTTTATCACAAAATCTTCAAGTCCAAAAAAAGTAAAATGCAAGTCTACAGTGTCCTGGCAAACAGATTTTTAAACATCAACTGTACTAGCTGTCAAGTTTTCATTCGGATAAATCATGGGGATCTTGTCTACAGTTAATAATGTTTATTTTAGGGATCAGCATGCATGATCTAGGAAGTTTGTTTCTGTGTGGTGGCTTTTGGCTATCATAATTAGTGCTCCACTCCATGGAATTTGGTCGGGACACGTCAAGTCTCGATTTTGAAAGTTTATTTCATTTTTCTAAATTCAACTAGCAAACCTAAATTTAAATGGGAGTTGAACTAGCTACATACGATCATGCCAGTTTTTACTAGCTAAATTAACTAGCATCTAGGATTACAAGATAGTAGTTTCCAGCCAGAAGCACTCCATAAATTTTCTTACCGTCCAAGTATAACAGCAGGTGGTAACTATCTTTTGGCGGTAGAATAGAGTACCATGCCGAATAACACGAAAATTCTTGATGCCTCAGCAACACAAATTATTCTGCATTTCCATATCCTGCAGTCTATTTGTTTCGTGTTAATTAATTAATTAATTAATTATATATATATATATATATATATATATATATATATATATATATATACTCTGAAGACTGTTAGAATGCGAAGGAGATTTTCGGAATTGAACTGAAGGATATATGAGATGATAATAATTATGAAGTGTCGGCAGTCGGCATACTTATGGCGCTTGAATTATTAGCTTAGTGACCATAAAAGAACAAACTCAGCTAAAATTGTTCCAATTTGACGGCAGTGCACATTTTAAATTAGTTTTTGGTGGATCGTATTTACTTTAATCTTGACAATTATGAAGGCAACGATGAAACAAATTTTTTTTTCAAGCAGTAAGATTGAAGATTCAAGTGAAATTAATAAAATTATAGTCATTGTCTCAACTTTCAAAAGCAGAATTGTTTTATGGATGAGCTGTGGGTTGTTAGGTATTGTTGAAATGAACTTAACATATATATCACTATCTATCAAGAAAAAGAAGGCAAAACCCCAAATAATTATTCAAAATGAGGACGAAAGATAATGATACTAATTAGTATTATAATATGCAAGAAAAACTAGATGATAAGTTGGAATAATATTGGTGCAATTGTCTTTCTTCATATGGAGCACGCTAGCTAGATTCATGTGCGTAATGAGAATTTTTGGAAAGAGAGGATAAACCATAGAATAGAAGGAGAAATTTTCTTCTTTTGGTCTTCTAGAATGACTACATTAGGTAGGTAGCTAGTTAATATCACTGACGTTATAGAGATGTTAATTTAGGTGAATAATTAAGAGCAACTTGAGGAGTATAATTGGCTTAGGTTGTTGGTTTGGTGGACAAAGACTCTCCTAACCACAAGGAAGGTTCCATTGCAAACCTCAATAATATTACGTACCTTACCAAATTAAAGACGACAAGAAAACTTACCGTTTTCTTTTGTCTCATTATACATCCAATATATTTTATTCATTTTTTAATGGTTTTTTAATATATATTTATAAATTAATGAGATGCTTAAATTCGAAATCTCTTAATATATATATATATATATATATATATATATATATATATATATATATGAGACCATAGATAATACTATTTAAACTATAATTTATTTAATCTTTTGATTAACTTTAACATTAATATTGGAAAAAAAATTAACATCACCGAATCTTGTAAAACCAACACAATGAACAATACTAAAAAGATCAATAAATAAAAAAGGTACACTTAATCTAGATAATTACACTCGAGTAAATTATAAATTAGTCCCTTTCCTTTAGAAAAATAAACTAATTAGTTTCTCTTGTTTTAAAAATTAATTATTTAGTCTTCATATTTTTAAATCTATTTATAACTTAGTTCTTTTTGTTTTTGTTTTTTTCAATTTAAATTTATTTTTATTTTAAGAAATAGAAAAAGAGAAAAAAATTGAAAAGACTAATGAAAAAAAAAAAACATTTTGTGGAATAAAATAATGTTAGATTAAGCATACTCAATACTCAACACTCATCAAATGACTAAATCATATTTTCAGAAACAAAATGAACTAATTAATTTGTTTCTTGAAACTAGAGGAACTAATTTATAAATTAGTCCTTTACACTCTATAAATGATTTTGTATTTGGCAACACAAATCCAAGATGTGCTCACCAATATGATTAGTCATTTTAAAACCCTGTTTATGCCATTAATTTTTAATATTGTTTAATTGTCTAACATGACGTATAGGAGGGGTGGCTTAACTAAAAATATAAGTCCATCGAAATTGCTTCCTCCATTCTGTATCTGCGTTTTAATCTCATTTCCTCATATGTATCCCTTTAATGCACACACAGGAATGAATAATGAGAAACATATTTGCGTGAAATTAATACTAGCATACATATATATATTCAAATACCACAAAGATGATGATAGATCTTAATCACATCAGATGCACGCAACATCTTTTCTGTTCATGCAATGCCATACCACAGGCACTAGAGTGGTCCGGAGAAAGAAAGAGAAAGCTAATGAGCCAGAGAGAATGGTGAGAAAATCTTGTTTTTAACCAAGATAATTTACTACCATAGACAAAGGAACTAAGCAAAGACCCCTTTTCTTCAGTTCTGTGTTGTCGCTTTCCCCCACAACAAAACCCAAATCGCTTCTCTTATCTATCTGGATTGAAGCACTTCCTTTGTCCTATATTACAACAAAATCCACAAAAAACCTGCCGTTAGGTAAGATAACATGAAAACCTACCAAAAAGACAATCATAAATGATTCAAATAAACAACATGCATGAAAAGCAAATTATTAAAACTTCAGAAATGGTGTTCTTACCTGTGAAATTTCCATGTTATCTTTCTGTTTTGTGCTCTTTTTGCATTGGTTTATCATCATATTTTCATAAACCTACTCACATACGGAAAAACAAAAAACAAAAGATAGCTGATTTTAGAACATATAGACATGAGAAAATATAAGATAGTTGGCATATACAAAAACAAAAGGCAAATCCCAGTGTACACCTAACTATGGATTGATAAAGGTAAGGGAAGAGAAAGAACAGAAACAAGAAGTAAAAGGAATAAGAAGAAGAAGAAAGGATTAATGTTTCTGACCTTCGGACTATTAACAGGAGAACTAGCAGTATCCTCCAAAGCATCATCAACCAAAGCTCCTTTGGTCCTTCTTTTCTTGAAACTTAAACTGTATTTGAAACTTCTGTTATCAATAGGCAACCCAACAACTTGTTCATCAGCAGATTTCTTCACAACCAAAGAAGCAGCATCTGAGACTATAGAAGAACTTCTATCATGATCTAATGAGAGAGAAGTATATTGATAATCATGATGAACATGATCCTCTTCATTGTTTTGGGCAAAGAAATCCTCAAAGTACGTAGTCCAACCACTCTCTTCTTCAAAACTGTCATGATCAGTTGTTTTCTCATTAGAAGAAGAGATTGTTGGTTTGCAGCTCATTGAATTTTCCATTTCTATAAATGAAGTTTGTTGGCTAGTTCTAGAGAGAGAAACTTTCTGGTATGTATGTATGTGTATATATAGCTGACAGAAAAAAACAACGAAAGAAAAAAAAAATTGATGAGGATGAATGATTTGTGTACTTGGAATCTTGGTACATACGTGGGCCAAAAGGGAGTTGGAGAAGTTAAATTTTAGAGGGTTTGACATTAATTATAAATATATGAAACAACACAGATTATATTTCCACCAAGGGCATGCGTAGAACAAGTCAGGACTTAATTAGTTAGTCAAAAATGGTGAAGTTAGACTTTGTCATTTTGCTTATATCACGAGAAATTGTTTAGGACTTCCTCTCATTCGTTAAAAAAAGCTTGTTTTGTATTGGGAATTTTCAAAAATGTTTTCCAGCATTTATTTTCTCACACACAAAATTAATTTGCAAAGAAATTTGTATGGATAGGGATTATATAAGTGGATCCCATTCTCATTATTAATAAAAAAAAAAAACCAAAATAAAATAATCGAATACTATTCACTTCACTATTTGAAATACTATTCATTCGGATTCATTCGTAATATTTATCAAGACTCGGATGCACTATTTTTTTTTTTATTATACAGTGGCATTTTTGTAAATTTTATAAATTTTAAAGATATTTATTTTGAAAGTTTTTATGACATTACATTTTAATCCTTTTTTTACATATTATTTTTTTAGTTCGTAAGTTTTTTTGTTTCATTTTGGTCTCTTTTTTTTTTGTTTCATTTTGATCACTTTGGTCCTTTATTTTTTTTTCTGTTTTTTAATTAAAAATTTTAAAGCAAAAAAATGTTTAGAAAAAAATTTACAAAATAAGTTTTAGCTAGAAATCCATTCATATTTATATTTTTTATACTATTATAAATTTTTTAGTTTGTGGATAGAGATAAATAAATAATGTTTAAAAAATTTATGAAAAATATAAAAAATAATCAATCAAATCCAAAATTTTGATTAAAAAATTATAAAATTGACTACTTTTTATTCAATTTTGATTTGATATATTTTGATATATGTACAATATAACACGAAACATCAAATTAAAATAATTTTATATATTCTATCCTATTCATAGCGGAGCACAAGTATAAAAATAGTTGGATTCTATAGTTGATGCTCGTAATGCCATAGTTTGATTCATATTTGTGTATAATTGATTTTAATTTTTTTTTTAAAGAAATAATGAGAAAAAGTATAAATCAAGTTGAATACCTTAAATAGAAGAGAATTATTGTGCATATTTTTAGATGATTACTTAATAAAATGTGATCTATTTAGTTTAAAAATGATGAATTTAATTTTGATTGATGTGAATTCTAATTAGATAATACCTAACCATTTATAAATATATAATAAAAAAGTGTGATAGCGTTCCTAAAACCATTATTACTGTGCCAAGCTAACACTAATTATTATTAATCTTAAATATCATTTTCTCTAAAGGTGAAGTGGTTATTGTTTAATTTTGTTGCTTATAATATATTTATGCTATGGTTCGTTGAATATAAAGAATATGATGTGATTGTGGTTGAGTCTGATCCTACTTGATATATCGCGAGAAAGAAAGAAAGAATGATCATAGCTTAATTTTAATCTCTGTTGCCATTTCTAATTAATTATGTGGATTTGGAACTTGATAACCTTCTTTTCTTTAAGTCATCCGTTGAAATGCAACATTCACAGGCACCCATCATTGGGTGGGAATGATGTATCCAAACTATTGACTTGAGAGAGAAAAAGCATAAGAAAATGGGTTTCAGGAAACATCTATATTTTTTTAAAGCTAAGATGACCTATGATGAGTCTATGACTTTGTTGCTTCCGGTTACCAAATTTTTAGTGGCTATGTTTGGCATACGCTGACGTCCGTTCAAGATTTTTTTAACCTAAAAATGGTTTCAACGTTTGTAAACATTCGTGAGACCTGTGATTGATGCTTTTTTCCCCCATCAATCTTTACACTGCATTAGATTCTCAATTAGTTATATATATACCTAAAATTGGTTTCACGTTTGCAAACATTCGTCAGACAGGTGATTGATGCTTTTTCTTTTCCTTTTCTTTTCTATTAGGGGGGGGGGGGGGGGGGATCTTTTATTCCCCATGGAATATATATAGAAAAAGATAACTTGCTTTCCAAAATGTACAAGCCGACATATATAAAAAATCAAATTTTAAAAATTATTTCAATAAATAATTTAATATCAATTCATTCAATGTAAAATGTCTTTTATTGTTAAAAAGAAAGAAAAAGAAAAATTAGTGATGATAAGAAAAATTCAGATTTGTCCCAAGGTGTAATTATCAATTAGTGAGCATAAGATATTTAAGAGTAATACTTGCATTAAATTTTTTCCCTCAAACATTTATGGTTTTAATAATTAAAGAATATTGCCTAGTCTTCAAGATATGATAAAGCTTAAAACTCTTCGAGTGTATTTCACACAAGACGGCAGCCTCAAGCGCTCTCCATAAAGCCAGACTAATATTTTACAATTGAGTTCGTTATATGACTGCCCTGCAGATTTGCGGAAGTTATATATGTTGTAATCAATAATTTTTGTTTGGTTGGAATCTTATAATAATTTTAATTATTTTCTTAATTGATGATCATAGTTTAATCTGTACGCATAATTAATTACGTACCTTTTACTACTTGGTTTACAATTATTAAAATTTGAATGTTGAGCTATCGTTTTCCTAACCCAAATTTAGCATAAGCTCAATTCTGTTAAGATAAAGAAAGTTTGCCTTTTCCATGCTTAATTTTTTACTTCGTTAAATCATTAGAATACTGTTAAGCTATCGTTTTCCTAACTTAATTTAGCAAGAACGGGATTGAGTTAAGAATGAAAAAACTCAGTTGGCCAACTTACTACTTTTTCTATGCCCAATTATCATCCCTGAATTGAGCACTATATGTTTTAGTGAAAGAAATTGGTCTGTCAAAACAAATGTTTCAAGACAAATTAATAACTATACAAACAAAGTGATAATTATTTTTTGAGTTCTATTTAGATACTTGTATTATTCAATTTTTTTTTTTTTTGTACAAAGATCTTTTACTCTTTTTTAGTTTGATTAAAACCATCTACTCATTAAAATTTTTTAGTTTAGATCTTCTCGTTATAATATCACCAACTAGTGATCAACACAACACCTTTACTCTTCGAGATTTCTTAGCTTACAATGCCATATATTGATCACCGATTGGTGACGTTATATAATGGAGGGTCTAAAAAAGAAAAAAACTTAAAGAGTAAAAGATCTTAATTGAAAAAAAATTTAAAGAATACAGGATCTAAATATTGGAAAATCCATTATTTTTTTCTATATAATGAGTCAATCAACTCGACCAATAAATTTAGAATACATGATTCAAGATGGCAACGACAATTGTAAAATAATTATGGAATATGGTAGAATATCTTCTTGCATTGTGTACCTATAAAACAAGTTCTTCTAGTTGGGTGAGGGACCCTCCGATGCTCAAATTACAAAAGGTAGCAAATTGGCCTAAGAAAGCTCTTTTGTGCTTATATGCACTAATTGGTGTGTGTGATTTAGTAAAAGAGAGGAAATTGTACAAGATATGGAACTTGTATAGATATTGTTAGTAGAACATGTTTGAAGTTCCTTATGGATGTGTTAATTAGATCTCACCTTTTTTTTGTGATAATTCTTGTTTTTATATTGACAATGATGGAAGCCACTTGTATGGTTAAAATGGCAAGAGTGTCCTTTTCTCTTAGGATTAGTGAAGGAGCCAACATGTGTTAGTTTTTTTTTTTTTTCATTGTATTTAATTATGTGAGTGCAATAGTGTGATCATGATAAGAGGTGATATGATTGGTATCATTATTGAAGATTCTTCATTAAATGCTTTATCTCTAAGGGATAGTAGAGGAGTGTAGCATCATCCATTTCTAGGCCGAAGCGTCCTAGTGGTAAGAGCATTTCAAAAATCTCATTAGAGAGGTTGTCTTCTTTAGGAAGAGCATGTGTCTTTGGGAAACTTTGGACTCTCTTAATAAATTAGTCTCTCCGGGTGAGCTATAGGCCTTAAGTTTTGGCTCATAGGCCTTTTTTGTTGAGTTGTGTTGAAAAAAGACTTTATATCATTAGTCCTCCCTCAAGTTTTGGCTAGCTCGCCTAGCTTAGCATAAAAATCATTGGTTGGGCATTTCAAAGGGTGTAATTTCTAGATGGGAGAGACTTTCTATGTTTTTTTTAATGACTTAGTTCGGTTCCGGTTGGTTAAGAGTATATATATATATAAGATTTGGCACCTTAAATTTAGTGTCTTTGAGTGAGGGAATGACAAACACTCATAAGCTTGGTGTCTCTATTATAGCAAGAGGTTGCATTTTCTTATGTTTTCCATAAGAGTAATGATTACCCTCATTAAGAGTTTACATGCCAAATCTTTCACCTAATGTGGTGTTGCCATGTTAGTGTGATGCTATCTCTTGTATTTAACATGTCCTAATTAGAGAAGAAGTTCATATATATAGGCTTTATTACTATAATCTCACTTTGCTTCTATGTGTTTCGGACTTCATTGTGAGAGACCTTTGGCTTGTCGCTTGAGTATTATAGAAAAACTTCCTTTCTTTTCTTTCTTCACCTTTGTATGCCTTTTTTTTTCGAGAAGATTTTTCTTTGGTGGAGTGTTTTTTCATTTGATATCGATATTTATAAGGTAATTTTTACTCCTTTCTTTCTCCTTTTTTTATGGGATAGAAAGATGAGTGACTTGGAAAGAGTTAGGGGAATATTTAGACTTTTTTATTGGATACAAAAATGTTAGAAGGGGTGACAATTCTAGTATTGACGAGTTTTTCCCTTCTCAAGATGATTCCCTTTTTATTATGAGGGGCCCAAGTTGTATGTTTGGTGAGAGACTAGCTATTTATGTTTGTTTTCTAGAGGATAATTTTCTTCTAGTTTTGGCCAACCTTAGAGATAG